TAATCTATCTAACTACAAGCAACAGCACAAATAAGTACAATAGCGTAAAGATACAAATAAAATAAACAGTGGTTTTCATTTCTAATATTAGTTTTCAGGTACAGAAATTGAATAAAGTAATGAAATGTAAAACAGCATTACATATTTGACTGTATAAATTAAAGATTCATATTTATTAAAGTTACAAAAGCTATTCAATCAATAGCAGTGAGTGATTAATTTGTTGTTGCTGTTTGATTAATATTAAGAAAGTGCTGTCATTTTTAAGAGAGCATGCACTGATCCAGTACGTTCAGCCGGCTATGTCTGCTATAGGATACTTACCAAGATGGGCATTTTGACAATTTTGTGTGAATTTGTCCATTTAAACACAATACTTCAGAGAAAGCTTAATATTTGCGCCTGTTCTGAGGCACAGGTTTGTGCGCTTCGGATGAGCGCACGCACAAATTTTCTCACTGTGCGCGAGCTCACGTCCTCTGGCTCTTAAATGTTTAAACTGGCAAAGCTTAATCGAGTTTAGCTTAAACACAGATATCAACGTGTGCTGTTCAGGTCTCACCTGTGCGTGTGTGCTATCAGCACCCGGGTGATGACGGAATAAATGCTCATATTCCAGCATACGGCATTCGGATTGAACAAGAGTGAATGGTTTGTCCACGTTTTTTATTTTCATCGCTGTAACTGTTGTTGTAATGTATTGGGAAGCCAGAATGCGCATCCATCAACAGAAACATATATTGGCCGAACCCTGTTTGTTTTACATGTTATTTATAGCAAACCATATTACAGATGCGTTGTCAGATTTAAGTTGAACCGCGGTCCTAGCGCGTGCCGAACCGTGTGTGGAGAACCATACGGTTCGATTTTTTTCCACGAACCGTTCCACCCTTATATATATGTATATGTATATATGTGTGTGTATATACAGTGGGTACGGAAAGTATTCAGACCCCCTTAAATTTTTCACTCTTTGTTATATTGCAGCCATTTGCTAAAATCATTTAAGTTAATTTTTTTTCCTCATTAATGTACACACAGCAGGAGATCTGCATGGAGGAATGGGCTTAATTTTTGTAAGACTAAGAGCGTAAAACCTTATTATTCTATTTATATTTTAATATCATATTTTTATTATGCGTGTTATTAATATTATTTATCAATTTATGTTTTAATATATCATATTTATATTTTAATACTGTGTATATTATAATAATAATAATAATATATGAATACATATTTTAATATTTAACTTTTTCTTTTGTATAATTTTTTTTTTTCTCCAGCTTCTGAATTCTCTTAATGCAGCTGAATTCAATGCCTAAACTAAATCATATGTCTTTGATCTCTTCCTACTATTTAAGACTTGTTATGGGATTTATGATTAGGCTACAGATGCACTATTCAGATCACGTGTTATATTTGCAGTGACTTTCAAGATGCTTTGAATGCTCCAGATTGCGCTGATAGATCTTCTCTCCCTATATTTGCTCTTTACACAATTATGTTGTATGCACATTTCTGGCCTTTTCTAGGTTATATTGATAGCATTGTCTCATAGGCTGTGCGTGACGGGAATTCATATGCGTTTACTGTAGTGCTTGGCCAGACTGTGATATCTGATTATGGTGAAAGTAATCTTGAGTCTTTGAATGTTGCAGCTTTTCGACAGACTGCGAGAGGAGCAGCCTGATTTTGCAGAGAAGATCGTGGCGGTCAACAGCGACCTAACACAGCCAGATCTGGACCTGAGCACAGAAGACCAGGAGACTCTCACGGGCTGCATTAACATAGTGTTTCACTGCGCTGCCACTATCCGCTTCAACGAGCCTCTGAAGTAAGCTGTAATCTCCACCCACAGGATGACACAAAGCTTTATGCACAGCTAGGAGTTTAGATGCTTCTGATTATTTAGGTGGTTATATCACAGGAAGCAACTGGATTCCTTATAACACGTCGCTTGAGGCATTTCTTCATTTCATACTTCAACATATTCAATCCATTGCATAAGGGCTGTTGAGATAAAGACAATTAACTCATAATTCCAATTAGCAATCTGTCATGTAGCTTTAAATCATGTATTCACAAATCACAATAAACCTGGATAATACAATAAAATGCATGGTTTTATTACATTTATTTAATAGCCTTAATAAAAATAAATATTATTTTAGTAATGGTACAATTATTATTAATAATTCAAATGCTGCTAATAATCAATTTTTCACTCACATTTTTTTTCTACGAATACAAGTCATATTCACAAATATACAAATCATTGTATTATTATTATTATTATGGTTATTAATAGTAGTAGGGGTTCTAATAGTTATAATAATACTGTCACTATCGTTTTTATTACTGCTATTATAACTATTATTGGAAATGCTAATAATACAATTATTAATGATGCAATAAATGTATTACTATTTGCATTAGTAATAATAATAATGCAATGATGTTTTAGCTAATAATACAAATGTGTTATTATTAATATTAGAAATTGTAAGTATTAATACTGTCATTATTTTTGTTTTATTTCACTTCTTTGTTTTTATTATTACTATTATAATTTATTATAATTATAATAATTTGAATGCAAATAATACATGATAAAATCAATTTATTGGTATTTCCATTAACAATAATAATAATAATTATATTATTAAAGTGCAATAAAATTATAATTGTATTAATAGTAGTAGTAGCAATGGCATTATTGTTTTAATTTTAAATACTATATTATTATAATGCTAATAATAGATTTATTGTATCATTAATTATAAAATATTTTTATTTCTAATATTCTTATTATTGTTATTATTAATAGTAGTATAAGAAATAATACTACTGCAATTATAGTTTTTTTTTAAAATAATATATTATTCAAATATTTTAGTAGTAGTGGTTCTAATAGTTATAATAATACTGTCACTATCGTTTTTATTACTGCTATTATAATAACTATTATTGGAAATGCTAATAATACAATTATTAATGATGCAATAAATGTATTACTATTTGCATTAGTAATAATAATAATGCAATGATGTTTTAGCTAATAATACAAATGTGTTATTATTAATATTAGAAATTGTAAGTATTAATACTGTCATTATTTTTGTTTTATTTCACTTCTTTGTTTTTATTATTACTATTATAATTTATTATAATTATAATAATTTGAATGCAAATAATACATGATAAAATCAATTTATTGGTATTTCCATTAACAATAATAATAATAATTATATTATTAAAGTGCAATAAAATTATAATTGTATTAATAGTAGTAGTAGTAATGGCATTATTGTTTTAATTTTAAATACTATATTATTATAATGCTAATAATAGATTTATTGTATCATTAATTATAAAATATTTTTATTTCTAATATTCTTATTATTGTTATTATTAATAGTAGTATAAGAAATAATACTACTGCAATTATAGTTTTTTTTTAAAATAATATATTATTCAAATATTTTGCCTTAGTAGTATATTTCTGCCCAAATTCTTCTGTCACTGCTGCAATTTATCAGATCAGACCTGTAATGTCCAATTAATGAATCTAGAGCACTATGTGTTCAAAATGCATGCTAAAGCCTTGTTTATGCTTTAAAGTGAGTGTGGAATGAAGCACCGCAGGCTGTGCATGCACAAACACTTCAGAGGTGTTCATGCATTCTTCACCTGACTTCATTTTTCTTTCACAGCGCTCACGTAATGCACCGCTGCACCAGAGAGACATAAATGCGCATTTTATGTCATTTACATTATTTCCTTAACTTTCCTTATCCAATTCTGATGTCGGTAAGTTGAAAGGTTGAAACTACACTAACTGCAGGTTATCGTGATTAGATCAATTTGTTTGCGGTTAGGTGGTTTTGTACAAATTGCAGTAGGTCTATCTTCAAGTTAATCAGATCTGCTCATGCTTCTGCAGAGTCACTGCAGTTCAGAGTTTTTTTCTGTCCCTCTGCTGCAGAGATGCCATGCAGTTGAATGTGCTGGCCACACAGAAGATGGTTAACCTGGCTCACAGAATGAAGCATTTGGAGGTGTTTATCCACGTGTCCACAGCCTACGCCCACTGTGACCGAGAGCTCATTGAAGAGGTGGTCTATCCACCACCTGTCGATTACAGGAAGCTAATAGACACACTTGAGTAAGTCTTGGCTCTCCAAAACACTCTTCTTGTCTTTGATGCTTCAGTCCCAGGGCTCTACGCTTACTTTTCTTTTTAGAAGCACTTGTGATCTTCTTTATGCACCAAGAGCTTGTAACACTCCAAAGAGAAAGGAAAACTTGAAATCGCATCATATGACCCCTTTAAACTATTTTCGATGACGAAATAGAGCAAAATCAGACAATAGTGTTATAGTCAGACAATGTAAGTCACTTAATATTAACTTCTTGTTTATTGAATTGTATTGTATTAAATCAGTATCACATTTACAAACTCCTTTAAAAATAATTAATTACAACAGTAAAAAACAGTAACAATGTCACTCATCTTAGTTCATCTCGATCTCACATTTATAATCAACCAAACTCTGTACATTGCACAATTAATCTCTTATTTACACCCTGTCTACACTTTGCTTATGAAAGGATTCGTGAGATATGTCTGTGATACATTACTCAATGCTGCAAAAACACGTAGAAACCTTTGAAGCTCCCCTGAGCGCAATCACAAGTATGATGATGATCGGGTCAGTCGCACTGGTGCTCCTAAAAAATTTTTCATAGTCACACGCAGTAGTTATCAGTCGCAAATGCAACTTAAATGGTCGCACTGTAGAGCCCTGAGTCCCCTTCCTCATTATACTTAGTCTAAAGCCTGACTTTTAATGATTAATAAATTAATGTCAAGGACATATATAGTACTTAACATGTGCTCCATGTTTGACAATGGCTGCTTTCACACATAAAGCCTTTGTTATAAATTTAACAATGCTTTCTCAGTTAGAGATCATGCATAAACAAGGACTCGTTGTCAAAATGCTAGCTAATTAGCACTGGTAATTAATAATTTTTTTTCCTGAGGTTTACTTTATAATGTCATTATTTAGTTTTCATGACCATCCACACTCTGTTATTTAAGTATTATGTATAATATTGTTAATATTTTGATTTAGCTTTTATTTTAATCTTTTCAGTTTGTGTGTGTGTGTGTGTGTGTGTGTGTGTGTGTGTATGTATGTATGTGTATATATATATATCTCTCTCTCTCTGTGGCGTGTGGTGGTATTTTCAAATAAGGAGGCAGTTATATATACTGTGTGTGTGTGTATGTATGTATGTATGTGTATATATATATATATATATACACATACATACATACATACAAGTGTGTGTATATTTGCATAGTTCAGATGCAAAAGCCGCTTTTCTTCTAAAATGAGAATAGGTTCTTTTCATTGCCATTAAAGTGAAATAACAATGTAAATGCCTGAAAAAAATGCTAATTTTAGAAGAAAATTTCAAACGGAACTCTTCATCTTCTGGCAAGGCCTGTATTTGTTCTGTCATGCTGGCCCAGTGGAAACGTCTAGCCTGTACTCCCCTGCTCTCGACTAGTAAAACTACTTAAAACACCTTAACAAACATAAAGAGGATCTTGCACACTTTTCATTCCACATATAACATGATTTTAAATAAGAAAAAAAAAGCTATATACTTGCTGGGCCCTATTTTTGCATTTGCTGTGATTCCAGAAAAAAAAAAGTTTACATTTATCTTACTTACTTTTTTACTAGCATCTCCATATGTAATTTTTACATTGTGAATAAAATATAAATAAAATTATTGGAGTATGTTTTATAGGAATACTATGTCTTTCTACTTCAGACTTTCATATTTAATTCAATGTGTTGCTTGTTTTTTTTTATAGCCTATGTATTATAGATATGCGCAATTTTTTTTAGGTGATATTGTTCGCTGTGGATTGTCCCCCCACCCCCAAGAATTTGATTAGAAATGTATATTAAATTTAAGATTCGTTTACAAGCTAGTAAAACCAATGCCTTTGATGTTCAAAGATCAAGTCCAGACTATGAACTATTCACAGTCACGACCTCTGTATCTCTGACAAGACAAAACAAAAAGTTCATACATCATTTCTTTGTTTACATTGTCAAATTTCAGAGCCATCAAAATTATTATTTGTGTCTTACCTGATGATGGATACAAAGCAGCAGACTGGTTGTCTGCACAATGTAGGATTTGATTGATATCATGGACTTCTGTGCACTGCAGTGGGACTTTTTTATAGTGTCAGTCAGGGCATCTGAGAAGGCACTCAGAATGCATGAGTGCTCATTTGCTCATGTACAATATTTGTTTCTTCAGATGCACTTAGACTAGACCAGTAGACTAGTTTAAAGTCAGAGCAGAATCTTGCGGTCTCTCAGAGCAAGTCTCTATGTCTAGGCTGATACTGAATGAAAGTATCTGTTCTGCCTCATTTCAAAGTATGAACAGTTATGTCATTCAAGACTGTGAATATTGAATAATACATTGCTGCTCAGATTATCTTATGCTAGTGTTTACTTCACAGGGAGGATACATCAAATGATCTCTTGAGAATGAAGCCTTTTTATTTGCCATACCGTAGAGGAGTGTAGAAAAGACCTTGAATGCGTAATCCGCAGTGACAAGTTCTGCATTCATAAGAAGAACACAGCTAGACATATCCTTCTCCAGCACATAATCCTGCTGATATTCAACAGAGTAAAGATCTTCCTACATAAAATTCCATTATTTTAAATTGACCAAATAGTATTACATCAGTAGCTTGGAAGTCACACAGCATAGAACAGCAATGCTAAATGCAAATAATAAAATGCAACCATTTAATCATACATAGGGTAGAAAATGAAATAGGCTTATGATCTTTTGAAAGGGATATGGAAATGCTTCCTACACCTTTTGTGTTGTGCGGCCAATCAAACTGCACCGTATTTAGGTGTTAATTAATCTGCCCATTGGTGGAAGCTATCATCCTTGAAAACCATAAAGGAACTATGATGCAAGGTGAAAGAAAAAATGACTCAGACTGCATTAAATACCATTTGAAATTAGGATAAACATGGTTTACACTGGCCGCAATGTTTTCTGTGCAATGAATTAATGGCTGCTGAGAGCATAAAACCATTTAAATCCATTAAAATCCATTGATTTAGAAACCAAGCATTAAAAAAAAAGCCGATATTTATAAATTGGCATTTATACATATACATTTTTTGTCATCCGTGCTGTATATTAAAGGTACTGCATAAAAAAGTAAGGTTTTTTCTTAAGGTTACATGCAGTTTAGAACTCACTTTTCATCCCAAGTGGCTCATAATGCATTCATTTCATGGTGAGTCCCTCTGGAGTAACTTGGGGTGAAATGTTAATGGTGATACAAAAGGACTGTATTGTAACTGTCCAATTCCACAAACTCTGTAATTTACTATTAGACCTGAAGCACCTTCCCCCATATTTCTGAATGAGTATGATTTGTACCAGCTAAATCACAACCAAAGTTAGATAATATGATTGCTTGTTGATAAGTGCTCTTTAACGCAGTTCATTGAATTAATCAGGAAGGTTTTTAATCAAATGCACCAGTGGTTTTGTGTGATTATCTGTCATTACCTTCATTTTACCCCTATTAAAACTGTTGATAAACAGCTTGATGAAGCCTAGTGAGAAACCGTTCTGTTGTTGTCTGAGTCAGATGTCTGAAGACCTCTACAAACACTGGTTGAATAGTCTCAGGATGCAAAACAGGACTCAACACAAAACAGGCACCTAGACAATCTATTAGGAAAGTTACGAGTAAACGACTTTCCTTGAAAAAGAGATGGTTTTGACCAGTGTCCCCTGTGTTTTGACCGAGAACCCAATAGATCTTAGGAACAGATGTCAGAGGAAGGCCAGAGGGGATGTAGACCCCTCCTTCCCATGTCTCAAAGGGCCACTAAATGTTTTAATTACCAGGCCAGCGAGATGCATCTACAGGGAGCTCTCTGCTAAATGTGAGTCCCTGTTCCTCAAATAAAGAAGAAGAAGAAAAATAATGCTGTTATTTTTTAAAGAGAGCACAGTAATGACACTTCAGGCTATCGTACTGCAAAAGGAATACGGCTGCTCCCATTAGGATGAATGGTCTGACTGTGTGGCTTATGAGAGGAGGGAAATGGTTCACACACTTTTTCAAAGAGGGGAAAAGGGTTGGAAACATTTATTGTATGCCCTCTTATAAGGAGATATGAAATTCTTTAAACCACTTAAGAGGGGTCCAGAGTCAAGCATTTTAAGAGTGGTTTCAAAACGTTCTTTCTAGAAGAGTTTATTATTATTATTATTTATTTATTATGTTCAAGAATACTGAAGTTTTTTTTCATGGCAGCCTTAAAAAATAACAAACATCCATACAGTGTAGGAATTTTATTTATTAATTTTCTTTTTTTACAAATTTTTTCGCTACTGCGCAGACTCTGGCTCCAAATAACGTAATTTTTGCAAGATGACAGAGGGCATACTGAGATGTTTTCTGTAGTAGAAGGAAGTGGAGACACTTTGTCCTCTTTTTTTTACAGTCTATTGTTCAAACAAATAGAGCAGTGATTTGATAGGATGGCAGTGTTTACATTTTTCAAAATAGTTGTTTCTGCATATTAAAGGAATGTTTTACCCAAAGTGATAATTTTGTAATCATTTACTCACCTTTATGTTGTTCCAAATCTGTACACTTTCGTTTGTGTAAGATGGTGTCGGTTAATGTTTTTATGCAATTACAATAACTGAGGACTGAAGCTTTCAGGCACAACCATGCATCATAAGTAGTCCATATGTCTCTTGCACTATATTTCAGTTTGTCTAAATCCATATG